AAAAACTGTAGTAGCGGCAACTTGTGAATATTGTCGATTCATTTTCCTCAGTAGTAATATGCCTTGCTAATGCTTGTTATATTCGGCAGGAAAAGAGTAGGACAAAATTTTTTGAAATGCGTGTTTGATAAAGCCAACGGAATTGTTGCAATTTTGTTGGTTAGGGAAACAGTCTCGTTATCAGTGATATGGGAATTGGTGAACACAAAAATTTTTAAGCCTTATTGACGTGCTGGGATTGCATCGCTTACCGGAGGCAGTAATAAATTGAGCATCGTCGGTGGCTGTGGAGTCCTGAAAGTTTGGTCGTCTTTTAGAGACTGTTGTTTAAAAAGAAAGAATTTCAAAACCACACGAGGTTTTTTGAATGTTGTAGCTTCATTTAAAAAAACTAAAAATTATGAGTTAATTTGGAAATCAACAACAACACCGCATCTCAACTGTCTGGCTAAGTGATTGTAACTTTGATAACTGGAACTTCACCAAGCGATGAAAAATTAAAGATGACTGCTTCTTGTTCTGGAAGACTAGTAATGGTTGCGCTTGAATTTAAGGATCAGTTTTAAAAAGTGGAACCCTTTATGAGCAGATTCTGCAGCAGTTCAAAGCGATGCAGACGTGCAATGGGAGACTACAATAGCACCACATATTTGGCAATGGTAAGCATTTGTGGGAAAAAATCAGTATCTAAAAAAAAACATGTGCAGTAGGAACAATTTCATTGCCATTACCTACTTTGAATCGTATTAGGTGCATTTTGGAATGAATGCATTTGGGAAAGAATTGCTCGCATAATGTTACTACCCCTGTTCACAGCGTCCGTAAGATAAAATCGTAGCCTATATAGTACTACTGATGCTAATAACAGCAAATAATCTTTGAGGAAAGTTGAATTTTGCATGAAATATTACTTAAAAAACAGTCAACTAAGTGACCGAAAAACGATAAAAGAATTTACCGACAGCAGAACCGCTAAAATAAGCTCTCTAATGCTTACCACGTAGGCGTCATATTTTATAAAAACACCTCAAGTCCGTTCCCCCGAGTCATTATTTTCCAGACTTTTCTGATCTATCGCATGCTAAGAGAGGAAACATGATCTTTTCTAACTGGGCTGCCTTTCTTCGCTTAACGTAGATGTGCTAGGTAAGTTTGTTTCTCGAAGCTAATTCCTTTTCCTTAGAGAATGATAAATGTTTTCTGAAAAAACATAGCCAAATTTGCAAATTAGTGATCTTCAGGTGCAGTAAGAAGTAAGCACGATTGTAACAGGCAAATTGTATCTTAGGGAAGTGGCACATAAAGTAGCACCAGAATTCATCTAAACAGCTAGGATCATTCATATCAGAATATTTTGCTCCTTTCGGCTTCATGCCCCGTATACGACCATAAGTAACTCGTTCGGCAAAACGCTTGGTCATCGCTCCGACAAAAGAGCTGATTATATAAAGTATAAGCCATTAAAAGCCTATACTTTATATATTCAGCTCTTTTTGTAGCTAACACCAGGACCACAGAGGAAACGCAACACCCAAGTGCAACAAAAAACAGCTATTTTTTCTAAAAAGCCTTCTCTAAAAAGAGAATCTTCGTTGTTGTCCAGCCTTTCAAAAAAATGAAGCCAAATCTAGACTTTTTTGTACTTAATTTCGTAAAAGATAAATCAGTAGTATCAAAGAGTGTGCCTGGGAACAGGATAAAAATATACATGAGAGGACAGGAAGCAATATTAGATTCCCCATTATCATAAAAAACGTTAAACTAAGGTATTCCGTCGAGTTGGTATACAGGCAACCCAAACCGCAAAAATGATGCAAATTTACGATGTTAATATGGTGCGCTTCATTCATCAATTTTAGTCAGAATGGACATTATAAATTAAGCCCTTCAGTCAAATTTAGTTATCGTTGCTGATAACATTTTCCTAGCCTTTTTCTTTTGCTAAACTATTCCTTTATTTCTCCCTAGTTTTTTCATGTATTTTCCCTCTGTGCCTCTACTTTTTGCAGATTATCCTATTGGACCATTATTTGCTTTATAAGTTATATATTTTCCCAAGTAGCTTTATAGTGCTATCACTAACACATGTATTAGCACTCTTAAAAATCAACGTCAATTAATAATTTTGTTTTAAAAATATTGTTACAAAAGAAATACAATTTTGTCAGTGATATATTTTTAACCATAACCTCGCAATAATCATTAAAATGACCGCCTTGAATTTAACGACGCTGTGGAAAGAGGTATTCTCTGAACCGCTATAAATTTGGAGGACTTTGTAGGATGATGATAAGATTTCTTGCTGCTTTTGTAAGTCAGTAGGCAAAAAGAAAAAAAAAAAACAAGTTCCACTGGCAGTCTAGATTCCTCTTAATGTTGAATGCCTGTTAAAAGGTCGTACAATAGTTCCATAGATGCGATAAAAGTAATAAATTTACCGACATTAAAGGCGGCAACAGATGCTTGGCTTGTGATGAAAAAATTTTGAGGCAAGGGGTACAATTTTTACAAGTTTTGATTATACATTCTTATCATTTAAATATATGCATAATAGTTTGGTATATGATACGTAATTGAATTTGCTGAATGACTCTTTCTGACTGGATTTAGGCAAAGGCAGTCATACACTTACTTCCCACGGGATTTGACTTACCACCAGTGTTTCGAACGCTTACAGTGTTTTACTTTTATTATAATAAGCTATAACGTCTTCTTAAAAGAGGTTGTTTTACTATAGAAAGAATCTACGTTTAACAGAAGGCACTTTTTTTTGTTACTAAGTTTATTTTTCATCTTTGTTGTGGGGGACAACTGTAAATATTTTAGTCGGGAAGTTAGAGTGTTGTTCACATAGACTATCACTGTGATGCGACTATACTCCACTAAAAAAGTTGCATTTTTATAGCAATAAAACTTGTCTAGCTGATTTTAAATAAATTGTAATACAAAAAAAGCTTTCAGCTTCACTCAAACATTCAAAAACAGATTTTTGGATTTATATATTTATATATATATTTGTTTATCAACTGATTAGAAGTTAGATGTTTGATTTCAGTTATAAATGGGTGCATTTTTCTACTCGAAGGGTTTTCATACAGTCTTGCTAAACATGACCTTTTTTTTTCGCACTGATACATCGAGCTGTTAATTTAAGAAATGAAAGAAAGTGAGAATTTAACTATCTTTATTACTAAAAAATGAGATAGCAAGAAATGTTGTGAAAAAGCTGCACTATAGTTTGTTATGTTATAATGCTAATATTAATATTTGAAAAAATTTACGTATATTTTATAAATAATTGCTTTATCTCACTTTTAGATATCTTCTATTGGCTTTACTAAAATTTAGTGCCAATCTTCAAAATGAACTTTGATTTGGCACCTTTTTTTTTTTTATCTTTATTGTTAGTTGTGAACAGTGCCTCCAATACAATGTGATCAGTCTGTAGTTTGTCCTTTTTTCAGCTGTTTCGAAAAAAGGACTAATTATTGCGTATTTAATCTATAAACTTGATTTTCAGACTTCCTTTTTTTCTGTTAAAACCAACATCAGCATTGACATTTTTGTTAGTGGTGATGGTCGGTATGATAAATTGAAAAAGTATTATTGGTTTGGTAGATATAAATCTGTATATATCAACTACTAAACCAATAATACCTATATGGAAAAATATTTGGTTTTTTTAAATACCTTCATTATAGGTTCACCATTTGTTATTTTACCAATTCATTTTTTTTTTCTTTTGATCAATATGCTAACCTTCAGGTATGATATGAACAGTTCCATTTCGAAGTTCCAACAGTTCCAACTCGACTAATATGAAAATATTGTAAGGTACTTCAAATACAGCCAGATCCTCTTCTCCATTCTCGTCCTTCTGCTTTTTCTGTCTCTGCTACACCCTATTGTTCGGCTTTCGCAATTATGAATTAGCTGTTTCTAAAGTCTTTTTTCTGTTCTGGTAACAGTTTCTGGTTTCTCTTCGACGAAGCACTGGAATGGAATATCTGTTTCCAATGAACAGGTAATCTGTTTTCAAAATCTAGCCATTTCTGCAGCAATAAAACACTGCTATATCGCTGTATGGTAGAATTGAATTTGCGGCTACTGGTGACTGACCTGGGTTTTTTTTTTTCTTGATATTTTTGTATTGATTATAGTTCCTGTATTTGGTAACAAGAAGTCTAAGTATTAGTTAGATCGATGTGTATTACTGTTACTATTACTGTACCAAATTTACTGCTCAGTTTGTTCATCATTTTCGTTGATACTGACTGGTCGCAGCAGTGATGGCATCACCTATTAGTTGTGCTGGACTGAAAATTTTCT